GACCCTCCGACAGCGCCCCGCTCCCTCGGCGCCGACCCTCCGACAGCTCCCGCTCCCTCGGTACTGACCCTCTGACAGTGCGGCACTCCCTCTGTAATGCAGGGCACTGGGATAGTGCTTGGATTTAGTTGTGGAATGGAATCAAGAGAGGGTAACTGAGTTTGGAGAAACGTAGCCTGGGGTTTGTCTTGGTGGGAGATTGAGGGCTTCGGTTTTATGGAGAAGCTGGAGACGTTTTTTTTAAATTGAAGCATAGGAGATTGTGGGGAGACCTTAAGACGTTTCATTAAATTATGAGGGGCATGGATAGTACGAATAGTCAAGGTCTTTTCCCTGATGTAGCCGTGTCCAAAGCTAGAGGGGCATAGGTTTAAGGTGAGAGGGGAGAGATTTAAAAGGGACCTGAGGGGCAACATTTTCACACAGAGGGTGGCGCGTTAATGGAACGAGCTGCATGTGTGAATGTGGGTAGTTGCAACATTAAAAAGACATTTGGACAGACGCTTGAATTTAAAAGGTTTAGAGGGATATGACCCAGGTGGGACTAGTTCAGTTAGGGAAACCTGGCCAGCATGGACGAGTTGGGCCGAAGGGCCTCATTTCCGTGCTGCACAACTCTGCGACGAGGTTTCGAGGGGGGCTGGTGGGAGAGAGAGAGAGAGTGAGTGAGAGAGAAATGAGTCTTGGGAGAGAGGGGCCTGGTCTTGCGATGGGCGGGGGGGGTGTGGATTGGGGCATGGAGAAATGGGCAATTGAGATGCAGATGATGGATCGATGGGAGGGAGAAACGGTGGGGTGGGGGGCCCCCTGGAGGAAATTGGAGAGGGATTTGCTGATCCAGCAGAAAGGTGCCTGAGAAGGAATCTCCCGGGAAATTCTCCCAGGGTATCTCCCTGTCGGAGGGGGAGGTGATGGCCTAGTGTGTTATCACTGGGCTGTTAATCCAGAGACACCCAGACAACGTTCCGGGGACCCGGGTTCGAATCCCGCCAGGGCAGATGGTGGAATTTGGATTGAATAAAATTAAGAATCTAATAGTGACCGTGAATCCATTGTCAATTGTTGGAGAAACCCATCTGGTTCACTGAAACAGCCATCCATGCCTGGTCTGGCCTACATGTGACTCCAGACCCATAGCAACATGGCTGACTCTTAGCTGCCCCGTGGGCAATTAGAGATGGGCAATAAATGATGGCCTGGCCCAATGACGCCCTCATCCTGTGAACGAATAAAGATTTAACAAGAAATGCCGAGCCAGCCCATTCGGTGCCCACCCCACCCCCCCACATCACTGGCTCGGAGCTGGCACCACCCTCGCTTTGGTGAACACCCATCCCTGGTGTTTTGAAGGCAGGAGCGACGTGCCATCTGCCTGGAGCCCCACTCTACCTGGCGGGGTTGGCGTAGGACCTGCGGCGCCCCTTTGCCTGGCAGTAGACGTCTGGCGGCAACAGCGTCCAGCCTTGGCTCCAGCCGAGGGCCTGCCCGCTTCTGCCGGCGTCGCGGGCACAGGGCACCGTCGTTCGGTCACCGCACGGTGTGGTCGTGAAGTCTGGGGTGGGGGGCAAACGGGGGGTGGGGGAAGAGGACACCATCAGAGAAGCAGGCTGCTCTGCCCATCGGGTCTGTTCCTTCCCTCAACTCCACTCTCCCACCTTCTCTTCCCTTGGGTTCCCCACCCACCCATCTCAGCCTTGGAAATACTTTAATGACCCAGCCTTCCCTGTGCCCCACCCCTCCACTCCCCTCAGGGAGAAGAAATTCCTCCTCATCTCATGTCTGTCAATGCTCTGGAGATATTCCCCTCTGGTCCCTCGAGAGAGTAAACATCTCCACATCTCCCCTGTCAAGTCTTCCCCCTCCAACTAAGAATCTAGACTAGCCATTGACTTCAGAAAGAAAGGAGGAGACTACGTCCCCATCTACATCGAAGCAATGGATGTTGAGAGGGGGCAAGAGTGTCAACTTGCTAGGAGTGACGATAATGGACAACCTGTCCTGGCCTTCCCATTTAGATGCGAGTCAAGAAGGCACAACAAATCCTCTGATATAACAAGGTGTAGAGGTGGATGAACACAGCAGGCCAAGCAGCATCATAAGAGCAGGAAGGCTGACGTTTCGGACCTAGACCCTTCATCTGATAAAGGGTTTAGGCCCGAAACATCAGCCTTCCTGCTCCTCTGCTGCTTGGCCTGCTGTGTTCATCCAGCTCCACACTTTGTTATCTCAGATTCTCCAGCATCCGCAGTTCCTACTATCTCTGATACAACAAATCCTCTTCTTCCTTAGGCGGCTCGGGAAATTTGGCCACGCCCATAAGGTCCCTCCCCAACTTCTACAGACACACTATTGAAAGTCTGCTGCCTGGGTGCATAACGGCCTGGTATGGCAACTGCCCTGTCCAGGACCGTGAGAAACTACAGAGTAAAATGCCCAGACCATCATGGCAGCCAACCTTCCCATCCATTGGCTCCATTTACAATTCTCGTTGCCATAGAAAGGCTGCCAACATCATCCCACCCCAGTAAGTGCTCTCTTCCATGAGGCAGTAGGTACAGAAGCGTGAACACACGCACTCACAGGTTCAAGAACAGGTTCCTTCCCTGCCATTACTAGACTGCAGAATGAACCTCTCTAACTTCAAACAACGTTGATCTTGCTAATGCTGATTTTCCTTTGTACACCTCCTGTGCACCGTGCGATCCTTATCTCCGTGTTTGCAAATGATCTGCCTGCCCTGCTTGCAAAACAATGCTCTTCACTGTACTGAAGGAGGAGGAGGTGTTAGCAATTCTGGAAGGTGTGAAAATAGATAAGTCCCCTGGGCCAGATGGGATTTATCCTAGGATTCTCTGGGAAGCTAGAGAGGAGATTGCAGAGCCTTTGGCTTTGATCTTTATGTCGTCATTGTCTTCAGGAATAGTGCCAGAAGACTGGAGACTAGCAAATGTTGTCCCCTTGTTCAAGAAGGGGAGTAGAGACAACCCTGGTAATTATAGACCAGTGAGCCTTACTTCGGTTGTGGGTAAAGTGTTGGAAAGGATTATAAGAGATAGGATTTATAATCATCTAGAAAGGAATAATTTGATTAGGGATAGTCAACACGGTTTTGTGAAGGGTAGGTCGTGCCTCACAAACCTTATTGAGTTCTTCGAGAAGGTGACCAAACAGGTGGATGAGGGTAAAGTGGTTGATGTGGTGTATTTGGATTTCAGTAAAGCGTTTGATAAGGTTCCCCATGGTAGGCTATTGCAGAAAATACGGAGGCATGGGATTGAGGGTGATTTAGCGGTTTGGATCAGAAATTGGCTAGCTGTAAGAAGACAGAGGGTGGTGGTTGATGGGAAATGTTCATCCTGGAGTTCAGTTACTAGTGGTGTACCTCAAGGATCTGTTTTGGGGCCACTGCTGTTTGTCATTTTTATAAATGACCTGGATGAGGGCATAGAAGGATGGGTTAGTAAATTTGCGGATGACACCAAAGTCGGTGGAGTTGTGGATAGTGCGGAAGGATGTTGTAGGTTACAGAGGGACATAGATAAGCTGCAGAGCTGGGCTGAGAGGTGTCAAATGGAGTTTAATGCGGAAAAGTGTGAGGTGATTCACTTTGGAAGGAGTAACAGGAATACAGAGTACTGGGCTAATGGTAAGATTCTTGGTAGTGTGGATGAGCAGAAAGATCTCGGTGTCCATGTGCATAGATCACTGAAAGTTGCCACCCAGGTTGATAGCGTTGTTAAGAAGGCGTACAGTATGTTAGGTTTTATTGGTAGAGGGATTGAGTTTCGGAGCCATGAGGTCACGTTGCAGCTGTACAAAACTCTGGTGCGGCCGCACTTGGAGTATTGCGTACAGTTCTGGTCACCGCATTATAGGAAGGATGTGGAAGCATTGGAAAGGGTGCAGAGGAGATTTACCAGGATGTTGCCTGGTATGGAGGGAAGGTCTTATGAGGAAAGGCTGAGGGTCTTGAGGCTGTTTTCGTTAGAGAGAAGAAGGTTAAGAGGTGACTTGATAGAGACATACAAGATGATCAGAGGATTAGATAGGGTGGACAGTGGGAGCCTTTTTCCTCGGATGATGATGGCTAGCACGAGGGGACATAGCTTTAAATTGAGGGGTGATAGATATAGGACAGATGTCAGAGATAGGTTCTTTACTCAGAGAGTAGTAAGGGCGTGGAATGCCCTGCCTGCAAAAATAGTAGACTCGCCAACTTTAAGGGCATTTAAATGGTCATTGGATAAACATATGGATGATAATGGAATAGTTTAGGTTAGATGGGCTTCAGATTGGTTTCACAGGTCGGCGCAACATCGAGGGCCGAAGGGCCTGTACTGCGCTGTAATGTTCTATGTTCTATGCTTTGTGCCCTATTCCTTTTGAAGTGAAGGCCGACGGTCCATTTCCCTTCCTCAATACTGACTGGACCTTGGTGCCAAAAGGAATTTGGGATGAAATTGGCAGCGTTCTTGGCAGACAGAGAGCAGGGAAAGTTCCCTACGCGCTCACCGCTGATCCATCCTCTGTAACATTGTCTGACTGCACCCCAGTCTCAGCTCACCAGCTACCGAAACCCCCTTCCCAGGTCCTTGTGACCTGCACAGCCCAACCGCTCCTGATGCTGCAGCCTGACCCTCCCCACAACCAGGAGGTCACATCATACTCTCATAATCCCCTGCCTTCACTCTGACTGAGGCCAGGTCTGGCATCATTCCCTATCTCTGTCACCTCCTCCAGCCCCCTACACCGCCCCTCCCCATCTCCGTCACCTCCTCCAGCCCCCTACACCGCCCCTCCCCATCTCCGTCACCTCCTCCAGCCCCCTACACCGCCCCTCCCCATCTCCGTCACCTTCTCCACCACTTACACCCCCTTCCTATTTCTGTCACCCCCTACAGCCCTGCACACCAGCTCCCGATCTGTCACCCCCTCCAGCCCCCTGCACCGCCTCCCTATCTCCGTCACCCCCTCCAGCCCCCTGCACCCCCTCCCTATCTCCGTCAGCCCCTCCAGCCCCCTGCACCACCTCCCTATCTCCGTCAGCCCCTCCAGCCCCCTGCACCCCCTCCCTATCTCTGTCACCTTCTCCAGGCACCTACACCCCCTCCCTATCTCTGTAACAGTCTTCGAAATTGACAACACTCTCTATCTCTACCAGATCCCACAACTGTACCCAATCTCTGCACTCTTCCAATTCTTGGCCCATGAATATTCCTGATACTTCCTACTCTCCCATTGGCTGCTGTCCCTTCCTGTCACTCAGTCAACTCTCCCCTCCCACCCCAGGGCCCTGAGTTACTGACTGTATCCCTACTGATGTTAATCCCTCTCCCTCACACTGTCACTCAGTAACCCCTCCTCCCCACCCTCCCCCCAGCACCCTGTGTTACTGACTGTATCCCTACTGATGTTAATCCCTCTCCCCCAGCGCCCTGTGTTGTGGGTGTGGTACTGGTACCGTGTGGGTAGATCATTGCTCTCTGGGTCTCGTTCTTCGTGTTGTCCGTCAGTGCCCAGCGATGGTACCCGTGACTCCGCCTCGCTGGCTCCCCTTCTGGGAATTCTGTCCTGACGCTCAGCCCCTGATTGGCATTGGCAAACCGGTGCTCCAGGTCGATGAGCTGAGTGTCCTTGAGGTGGGACAGACCCAGAAACACTGAAGTGAAGCATCATTCCAAACAGTGTTCCCTCCCCATCATCATCCTAACCTGCCAGAAAACAGGAGTAATGCCTGGGTTTGATTCCAGTCTGTAACTCCCTCCCGGGGTATCTGTTATTCTGTATATAAACGCACCCCCCCCACCAAACCCCTCGATTAGATTCCAGTCTGTAACTCCTTCCCGGGGTATCTGTTATTCTGTATATAAACCACCCTGAACCCCTCGATTAGATTCCAGTCTGTAACTCGCTCCTGGGGATCTGTTATTCTGTATATAAACCACCCTGAACCCCCTCGATTAGATTCCAGTCTGTAACTCCTTCCTGGGGATCTGTTATTCTGTATATAAACCACCACGAACCTCCTTGGTTAGATTCCAGTCTGTAACTCCCTCCCGGGGATCTGTTACTTACCTCTTCCAGATTTATGGTGGGAGTTGGTAATCTCTTCATGAACCCCACCCTGCGCACCACAAGAGGGGCCACTTCGCCAGGGGCCAGCGGGTAGTCTGAGGGCAACATTCCCGTCAGTTCCTGGTGTGAAGTAATGACAGATTAATCTGGCATTCTGTTCCAGAAATTTAGGAACGAAATCAAATGTCGCTGAGGATCATTTAATGTCACTCTGGGAATAGGAACAAGTGAGAAGTGCAAACAGCAGAAATTCTTTAAACATAGAACGGCACAGCACAGGAACGGGCCCTTCGGCCCACAATGTTGTGCCAAACATGACGCCTAATTAAACTAATCCCTTCTGCCTGCCCCTGGCCCCTATCCCTCCATACCTTGCATATTCATGTGCTTATCTAAAAGCCCCTTAAATGCCCCTATCATGTCTGCTTCCCCTTGCAGGGCGTTCCACACTCTGTGTACAAAACTTGCCCCTCACATCTCCTTTGAGCATTCCCCCACTCTCACCTTGAAGGCATGCCCCCTTCGTATCAGACATTTCAACTCTGGGAAGAAAGATTCTGACCATCAACCCTATCTACACATCTCATAACGTTATTGATTTCTACCAAATCTCCTCTCAGCCTCCCTGCTCCAGAGAAAACAACCTGAGTTTTTCTAGCCTCTCCTTCTCGCTCATACCCTCTAACCACAGCAGCATCCTGGTAAATCTCTTCTGCACCCTCTCCAAAGCCTCCACATCCTTCCTGTAAAGTGGCGAACACAATACTCTAAGTTAGGCCTAAAGCCTTACAAAGCTGCAACACAACATCCTGACTGTTGTACTCAATTCTCTGGCCAATACAGGCAAGCATGCCATATGAGATAACAAGGTGTGGAGCTGGATGAACACAGCAGGCCAAGCAGCATCAGAGGAGCACTACGGCTGACGTTTTGGGCCAAGACCCTTCTTCAGCATGCCATATGCTTTCTTTACCGTCCTATCTACTTGTGTGTCCAATTTCAGGGAGCTATGGACTTGAACCCCAAGATCCTTCTGTACATCAATGCTGCTCAGGGTCCTACCATTAACTGTATACTTTTCCTTAATGTTTGATCTTCCAAAGTGCAGCACCTGACACTTACCCGGATTAAACTCCATCTGCCATTTCTCCGCCCATATCTGCAGCTGATCTACATCCCACTGTATCCTTTGACAACGTTTTACACTATCCACAACTCCCCTGATCCTTTTATCGTCTGCAAACTTACTAACCCACCCATCTACCTTTTCATCTAAGTCACAAATAATCCAAGTCATATGTATAAATCACTTCAGGGACTCAAGCCCAATATCCATCACATGCCACAGAGAAGCGCCGAGGGAGCGGGGCACTGTCGGAGGGTGAGCGCCGAGGGAGCGGGGCACTGTCGGAGGGTGAGCGCCGAGGGAGCGGGTGCTGCTGGAGGGTCTCAGTGCCTGAAGCTGATGTTAACAAAGGCAGTATGTTGGTTTCTACAGTTGATGAGCTGACACAGCAACTGGTCTCAGTGACCGAGTAGAAACTGGGGAGGAATTCCTTCCCTGCGTTGAATATGACACCAAAGACGGTTACTTGGAGAGAGACCAACTCCTGGGTGCAGGATTGGGATCAGGACCTAGAAGCAACAGCTTCAGTCTTCCTGATATTTGATGGGGATTGGATGTCGGAGAATCCCGAAATGGTGGTGGGCTCGGGAGTGGGATTGGTGATTGTGTGCTGTTATTCGTCACTGTTTCCGAGGAAACAGACACTGTGTTTTCAGATAATGTCAGGGACAGGGAGCATGTCAATGACGAAAATCAGGGGATCATGGGAATGGTGTCTCCAGAGGGAGACATGCAGTGGGAGGATGAGAGGCCATGGCCGGGGATTCTGGCTCAGCCCCTGGTGAGACCAGAGGATAGAGCAAAGGATTTGGTGCGGGTGGGTGTGTGATGGGACCCCCTCACTCACAGCTTCCCGCAGGCAGAGCTCCCTCAGCTCCACCATTTTCCTCCTCAGCGTCTCCTCGATTGCCTGCTGTCGCTCAGCCAATTCCCTCATCCTCTCCGTCTTCAGCTTCACTGCCTTTGTATAGCGCTGACAACCTGCTGAACAACGATAGGGCACTGTCAATGCTGCCTGAGGAGCAGCATCTTACCTGTTGCTTCAGTCTGGTCCACTGTGCTCCATTCCAGCCCAGTCCGCTCCCGCCCAAACCAGACCAGTCCGCTCCCGCCCAGACCAGACCAGTCCGCTCCCGCCCAGACCAGACCAGTCCGCTCCCGCCCAGACCAGACCAGTCCGCTCCCGCCCAGACCAG